AATTTGGGTGTCGTTCTTTTCAAACTGCTTCCTGCTGGTAGGGGGCGCTGTCACTCGGGTTTATCTTTTAGACAGGAATAGGATATGGTTGGGAAAGGTATGGTTTAGATGGGATATAGGTAGATTAGCTTATCTTCTCGTGAATTATTTAGTAAGAGTGAGATAACAGTATTATACAGCTTACATTGTTATAAATTCTTATTTGTGGTAAGCTATGTAAAATTAAGTTTATATTCCCTTCCCGAATGAATTGTATATTACATTTTGTCATATTGTGTGAAATCTTTCCACTTATGATGTTTTATGCACATTAGTCTTACCACATTCTATGTATGTATACTTTTTCTTGTATTCAAGACATTTTGTAAATTGATACAATTGGGGATATTTATCTTGCTGCCCTTTATAGTTCTACCTCTTGTCTAGATATTTCTACTCTACCTCTATTTTAGGGATTTACATATACATATATATATATATGTATATGTATATGTATATGTATATGTATGTATGTATGTATGTATGTATGTACATAGTTATATTGTTTAGGTATTTATCCCTGCTTTACTCAAGGAAGTTTTAATCAGTTTTTTTAGCTAAATTCCTGAGTATTACAGATTATCTTCACCCATGTTTCCTTTAACTATGATATTAGTCAGACATAGATACTTAACCTTCAATCACTTCATAGACATGCTGAACATGGCATTTAAATGTTTTAATATTAGTACTCCGTTGACAGGAGACACTATTGCTCCTGACAGCACCATGCACTTTCCCGAAAATATGTTGGACACTATTGTTGCTCCTCTGGAGTTCATCCTCACTTCAGCTAATGGCCTCTTGGGCAAAGAACTACCCCCACCTTGACCACTGATTTGGACATGCCGTCATATGTGCTTGCAGGAGACAAATATAGAAGACTACGAAACCCAGCCAAGTCAGGGTAAGACAGCCTTTTTACCTCCCTGTTGTTGTGGTGGTCTGTCAGGTACTCTAGGCCTTAGCCAAAACTGGCTGTACCAACGTTGCTGTGGACCTTGGGTGACTGTTCAGGTAGCCTGATGTTTCTGTCCTTGCTGTACCTTTTGGAAGTTGCCCATCCGCACTACCCTAGTATTATCATTTTCCTTCTCAGTTCTTTGATGAGGTTGAAGATTAAATTATCACAACTATTATTCTCTCTTCCTAGTTAGATATACTAGGTACTAGACTTAAGCTTCCCAGCTTAGGACAACTCTATTGTAAACCCCCGTTTCGACTTCACCCTAGGACTAGATGGTTAGGTCTTAAGTTTGTATGTTCTCGATTTTCCTTTTCTTAGAGCACACTTGTTATTCACTATTTTGTATATAGTTTGTGTATCTAGCCCAAATCTTTTCTTCAGACTAAAAGGGAAGTTGTAGTGAGATATTCACCTTGTCTACACCTGTGGTATAGACCATGCCCACGGGGGCTGGAGACAGGGCCGGACATGACCTGGGGAACTTAGGCTGAGGAGGGGGCTTGGAGAGCTCTTTTGCTTGCAGCACTGGGACAGGAGCACTTCCGGAGGCATCCTTGGGACCAGGAACCTGCTGGTGTTCATCTGTCTATGTTGTGATTTATTTCTCCCTGAATAAACATCTATTCAGCCTATTTGTTTCTCCCGATCCTTATTAAACATCAATAGGTTACCAGCTGAGGAGAGCAGCTAACAGAGAATGGAACCAGCCCAAGAGAGTAACAAAGCTGTAAGGAGCTAGAGAAGTGAAGAGTTTTGGCATCAGAGATGGAGGTGCAGAGATAGGAGTTTGCCCAGCTGGGCTTTGGTCTTGCTTTGGTCCAGTTTTTCCTCACTGTGCTCCCTTCCCTACATTTGTATATCCTGTGCCATTATATGTCAGATTAGTGTGATCTGCTTTTTTATTTCTACAGGTGATTACAGTTAAGAGATTTGCATGAATCTCAGAAGAGACTTTGAACTTTGGACTTTTAAACAGGATTGAGGTTGTTATAGACTATAAAGACTTTGAAATCGTCTAACTGCATTTTTCATTATGATATTGTTATGAGCTTATGGGGTCCAGGGGTAGAATATGGTGGTTTGAACGTAATTGGCCCCCATAAGCTCATAGGGAGTGGCACTATTAGGAGATGTGGCTTTGTTGGAGAAAGTGTGCCACTGTGGGGGTGGGTTTTGAGGTTTCCTATGCTCAGGATACTGCCTGTTGTCTCAATCCACTTCCTGTTGCCTGCAAGGTGTAGAACTCTCAACTACTATTCCAGCACCATGTGTGCCTGAATGCCACTATGCTCCCGGTCATGCTGATAATGGACTGAACCTCTGAAACTGTAAGCAAGCCACCCCAATTAAATGTTTTACTTTATAAGAGTTGCCATGGTTATGGTGTCTCTTCACAACAATAAAAACTCAAACTAAGACAGGTGGAGTCCTTCCACTATGCCAAAACAAAAAGGACCGCCATACTCACTACTACTTCCTGTGCGTTTCTCTGTCGTCCTGACTCCCTCTTTACCATCTATGGCTACTTCCTGTCAACTAGCCACTGGCTCTGCCTCCTGACCTCAAGTTATTTTTAATTAATGCAATCTCAGGTTTTGCGGTGTGGTCAAATATCCTGTGACTCCGCCCTAAAGGTGGGTGGCGCCACTCCCTGGGCTGGGATTAGAAACTGAGTTGAGCACAAACGTGCACTGTTCTGCTTCCCAACCAGGGACTGATGTGGCCAGATGCCTTAAACTCCTGCCACCGTAAACTGTGAGCCCAAATGAACACCATCTCCCTTGGGCGGCTTTTGATGGGGTATTCCATCACAGCAGCTGGGAAAGTAAGCAAGACAGCTGGGGAATGGTGCAGTTTAATGACCGGAACTTCATGAACCTCAGAAGCTTTGTGGGAATTCCACAAGGCAGGAGCCACAGCTGAGAACAGTGAACCCCTCCCCCCAAAAGGTGAAACGGAATACCTGCCCAGCAATAAGACGGAGTGAATGGTGACAAGAGGCAGGGACACAAACACCCGCATGAGAAACATCCTCAAATCGTGTAGCCTCAGCCCCTCCCCACAGATGAGTAATACCTCAGATTAGACTCCTGACCCAATGGTATCTCCCAGTGCCCTTGTCCCCTTTTTTTGTAACCACCAGTAGTAAACAAAGGGGGAACTCCACCACAGTGGCCAAGACCATGGAAATGTCATCACATGGCCTGTTTCCCATGACCAGCTTTATTCCACCACAGTGGCCAAGACCATGGAAATGTCATCACATGGCCTGTTTCCCATGACCAGCTTTATTAGTTCTTTCGTAGTTTCTAGTACCAGCAGGAGGCACTCCCCATTCAAACCCCAAGGCTGCGGGGGTCATCTTCACCCTGACATCATCGGGCTTCATAGGGTCAGCACAATATAGAGTCAACTCCATCAGCTGCGCTCTTGCTATCCCACCACTAAGTCTCCCAGTAAGCTTGAATACAGTACTGAAAGTCCCCCCAAAGGAGAAGCTCACCCATATGCTCAGCAAATATGTCCATGAGCCTCTCTCTCTCTAGCCAGACTCTATCCTCAAGACTATCCAAAAACAAACAAAAAAAAAAAAAAACCAGTCCCTGCCCCGTGTCCCACCAAACACTTATGACTTAGACTGAGGACCTGCACCCTCACACCTGTGATGCCATCACCTACTTCACCCAGCGACTTCACCCAAGATAACTTTGTCCCCCTAAAGCTGTGTCCAACCACAGCTCTTGGGACCCTCGTGCAAGCCCTCTTCCCACATAGGATCTTCTGCCCCGTGGGCTTTCTTCAGGGGACATTCAGGGACAACAGTAGCTATCAGATTACTCAGCAGTGAGTATCAGGTCATCTGGATTTGTCCCATTGCTTACAATGGCCAACAGATGCAGTCAGCCAAAACAAGGAGCGTCTGGGTGCAACTGTCCTCCAGCCCCACTGCCCCATATAAACTGAGACATGGTGGGTTAGACCACTGCATGTTTATTTAAACTGTGACTTCTGCACTCAGCCAATGACTAGATGTCTAATGTCTATCAAAGGTGCTTCCTTTCAGACCCTCAGCCATCTCATGCAGCTCGAACAAGTGTCAGTATGAGAGTTTCAGGGACACAAAGAAAGCAAAACAGCCACCCTGACTCCCCTTTGGAGGGCTTTACCTATTCAGGAGCTAGGGTTGCAATTTGGTGGTAGATGATTATTTAACATGAGTTTGGTCCCCATCACCAAAGAGAAAAAAAAAAAAAGCTTTGGCTATAGCTCAGGATGGTATACTTTCGTCATATGTGTGGCACCCATCCCAAGCACTGGGTGAAGCAAGGCAGTACAACACCATCTGCATGGGAGGGACACATCCAGCAGATGAGCCTCACTTGACCGCCTGTCTCTACAGGCTTCATCTGGGACAAATTTTTGTCTCTGCTCTGTGTGTGTGTGTGTGTGTGTGTGTGTGTGTGGTTGGGGGTGTGGAGAGGTGTGGGCTGCTACACATCCAGATAGAGAAACAGAACAGCCCTTTGGATTAGTTCCAAACTGAACCATGACGCCTGCAGCTTTGACATTTGTGTGGTCACTTGAAGCCAGAGGGGGCTTTCTTTGGGGGACTGGCTCTCAATAGATATGAGCCTTCAGTGTACTGCCGTGAATAGCTCTGTGCCTAACCTGAGTTTGGGCCATATCCCTACACATTTGGGGGAAGAGTAAAGCTAGGCCAGAAGACACTGTGTACCCAGGAAGATCCCAAGTGAGTAAATTTCAAGGTCTCTCTTCTACCTTGGCACTGGCCTCAGCTGTTCTGGGCCCCATTGTAAGGGAAGCTGAGTTGCCACAGGACCAGGAGGAGGCCATGGAGAGCAGGGGAGAGGGCACTCCCACACTCCTCCCAGATACCAACAGCACAGCAGCCTAACCCTGCTCCTAAGGCAAAGGCCATTGCTATGATGTGTCCAGCAAAGCCGCGGTGGGGCCCCATACACCAGCACCAAGCAAACACAAACCCAGATTTATTGGCAGCAAGGACTGGACATACCTGCCTGGTCCAAGCAGCAAGGGAGAAGGGTGGAGGAGGGGCTGTGGGTCAGATTCATAATAGAGACATTGTCTTACAAGTAAACCAGCCAAACCCCGTGCTGGGAGGAAAGGAGAGAGGAGAGGTGGCCAGGCACTGCCATCTAGAAGGGGAGTAGCTCTTGCACAGGAATGTTGAGCTCAACATCCATGTCTGGGGTGCACCTGGCAGGAAGTAAAAAAGGACTGTGAGGGGTCAGCAGGGACGCCAGGATTAGGGGCAGAGGGAATACACTCCAAATTCATTACAATCCTGGTGGTTACTAAGGAGACATCATCCCAAAACTCAACCTGCAGCCACCTGCACAAACATGCGCATATACATGGATATGTGCATTATGTGGGGGAGGAGGGGTACGTGTGTGTGCGCACACACACATACAGGTCAAAAGCGGGAAGGAGATTACGTTGCCAAGGACTAATGTCTCCCTGAAAAGGACCAAGATCAGAGGGCAGCAGGAACTCATGTCAATGTCACATCCTCAAGGAGAGTCCTTCCTTGACTGCCCACTTCACTGCCCGGGGACAAGCTCTGCCAAGCTCATGGAGCTCTTAGTAGCTCCATGCTCAGAGCTCAGTGTCTCCTAATGCCTGTGGTGGCAGAGCCAAGGGTTACTCTCATTCATTGGCTCCTTGGCATTTCATAAACTCAAAAGCATTGCTGAAGAGAAAAAAAAAAAAGGAAGAAGGGAGGTAGAAAATGAGTACCAGCAAGAACAGTGAGGCATGGTGTTATACAAGGCTGTCCTGTAGGGGCTGGAGATGGCTCAGAGGTTAAGAGCACTGGCTGCTCTTCCATAGGTCCTGAGTTCAATTCCCAGCAGCCACACGGTGGCTTCCAACCATCTATAATGAGATCTGGTGCCCTCTTCTGGCCTGCAGTGTAGAACACTGTGTACATAATTAATAAACAAACCTTAACCAAAAAATAGACTGTCATCTAGGCCAAACTTCTGCCATCTTCATGCGTTTTACATTTGGCTCTGCCCTGTTGCAAAACATCATCACAGCTTACTCTATTGACTGATGACATCTAACCACTCCTCCCAACCAGACATGTGCCCTTAGGGTCTCAAGGACCCTAGAATGTATAGAGTGAGAAAGAATAGTGTTAAGAGGGCTCCACACACACAGCCAGGGGGAGCCATCACCCCTTCTGGAAGCAGGCTTTTCAGTAAGGCTGCTTTGGGTTCACACATACCCCATGGCCCAGGCTCTATAAGTAAGGCCAATAAATTCATTAATTTCCCAGGAGGAACCTTGGTGGAATCAAGCTTTGGTTTGTCATTGCTTAATACTCACTCCCTCACACCTGGAAGAAAATTCTCTAAATACATGGAAACCCCAGCATTCAGGAGGCTTGAACAGGAGAATCATATTTGAAGCCTGCCTAAGCTACAAAGCCAGACTCGGTCTCAAAATACAAAGGGGGGTTGGGGGTAGCAGGGGTATGATACAAGGAAAAGCCTGGGAGGAGACAGAAAGGCAAAGGGGGAAAACTATATAATTTGCAAGTACTGGGCTCTGCCACCACACAAGGTCCTGTGGTGTCATCATGAAGAGATCTGGCCCATTCTCACTCTACCACCTGGCCCTACAACAACAAAGCAGGCCAAAGGTTAATTTTGGAAGGAAAAACATTCTCCTCTTGAAGCACAGAAGGCTGCCAAGCAGAAAATATGTCCTTCCATCCTTGTCTCCATGTCTTTCTTTGAACTTACCGTCTGGTTCAGCTACACCAGAGATGGGCAGGGAAAGCTGTGTCTAGGCTGGTGTCAGCATAGAGGCACACCCAGGACTCCTCCCTTCATGCCTAGGCTCTCGACACCTACCCAGATCACCTTCCCTAGGAACAGGTCTGCTCAGCCCAGCATGGCAGCCAAGACTACATACTTGGGTCTCTGTAGTAGAACATCCTTAAAAACAACCTCTCGAGGGTTCCAGACCTCTGCGTACATTTGCTCCACCTCTGCGACTAATATAGGAATTTCTTCCTTCAGCTGCTGGATAAGCTGAGGGGAGAGACACAGAAAGGAAGTGTGAAGTTCAAGCCTGGGGAAAGGGGACAATACCACAGAAGGAGGGTGTCTGGGAGATGGTACGGGCCTTGTCACTAAGATGTGCTGGATTCCAGAGAGCCAACCTCCCTGTTTAGGAACAGGAGCAGGTCCTTCAAGTGAGGTGAAGTGACAGGGAAGAATGGAGGCAGGTGACAAATGGGTGGGCCACACAGTATGAGAAAAACAGGATGGGTAGAGATGGGGACCTTGAGTTGTGAACTAATGGCGGTACCAGGATGAACACTCCCACAAGAGAAGGTGGGGCCTCATTCCCTAGCTCTGATCATGGGCCAAAGGGTTAAGGGAAGTTGTTAGCAAAGAGCAGGTGATGTGTGATAGTGCGCAGGGGTCATGGCATGCAGTGGTGGCCGGTGAGTCAACTCCAGGCTAGCATGAATTCCCTTTGAGATGAATGATGAGCGACACCAATAGTACAGTCAAGGAAGAAGGCCGGCACCTGAGGGCCCGCCTGCAGTCCCTCACCAAGGCCATGGCCTTCCTCGTGCCCTCACCTCCCTGAACCAGACCGTGCATCTCTGCAGGCGCTGGCTGTCCAGGGTCTTCAGCATAAGTATCTCCTCATAGGGTTTCTGGGTTTTCTGTGGATAAAGAAGAAGTCTGTCTCTGGGTACCCAAGGCAGGAGCACAGAGGTGGCTGACAGGGACACCAGAGGCAGAAGGACTGGGAAGCTAGGAGGGCCAGGCCTGTGCCTGGAGACATCTCCCCCACTCGACAGCGGCTGACTACTCACCACCATCAGAGCTCTCAGGATTTTCTTCTTCTTCTCCTGAATCATTTTGGAAAAACACCCCAGGACCATTTCACGCATCTCTTTAAGGTTGTCCAGTTCATCCTGGGGGTGGGCAGAAGGAGCTTGGCCACCACTCCCACCTTCCATGTCATCTAGGTATGGCGGGCCAGGGGCTCACTTACCTGCTGGCTGTCCTTGGCCTGCTGCACCTGGCGTATGTGATTGGCAATCTGGACCGACCTGACAGGGTACTCGTGGTCCATGTAGGTGCTCAGGAAATTCACCTCCTCGTGGGCCTTCAGGATCTCAGCATTCAGCTGGTCTACCTCCTGCTGCAAGCCTGGGGAGGGACAGCATGGGGAAGGGAGGGGCAGTTAAAGAAGGGGGCAGATGTCTGGGCCTTCCTTTAGGGGGATCTTCCCAGGAGACCCCTGAAACCCAGCTGCCCTTGGCCAGTGGACCAGGATCTGGGCTGAGGTGTGCCCACACGAGGCAGGAGGTGGTGGGAGCTGAAGCTGGTGGGGTCTCAAACCCCAGAAAAGAGAAATGAGAAGGTGCAAGATCCCTAGACCGGTCCAGCTCTGCTGACTGCTGAGTGGTCCTCACCAAGACTATCCCTAACCGGATCTCAGCATCCTCAGACACATGCCCCTGAGGAAGCAAGCCCAGAGAGTCAGGGTGACACTGCTGCCCGAGACAGGATTAAGACAGCATTTAGTTGCCAGGATGATCACACCTGTAATCCCAGCACCAGCAAGACTAAGGTTAGAGGACTGTTGAGAATTCAAGGCCAGCCTGGGCTACAAAGTCAGTTCCAAGCCAGCCTGAGCTACAAAGTGAGACCCTGTCTCAAAAAAGAAAGTGAGTAAAGATATTGTCTATACTGCCTTTCTCCGTGGAGGGGATTCCCCAGTGTCAGTCTGCCTAGCAGAGGTCCCCTGACACACACCTCCTCGACATCTAGCCTCTCAGGAAGGGGAGGGGGCATAGATCCAAACAATGGAAGAAGCCAGATCTAGTTCCCAGCCACTTCCTCCCAGAAGGACCTGGATAGGAAGCTTAGCCAGGGTAAGCCTGGATTCCAACTCCTAGGCACGTGGCCTACAGCAGGTACTTCCTCTCCCTCTGCTTCAGTCTCCTCCTCATCGGTAGATAAAGTGTGACAAAGACCCTGCATCCAGGAGGTTACATGAGTGTGCAGTCACAGATGCTGGAACGCCCAGGCCTGGAAAACACTGAGCACTCTTGGTAAGCTATTCGCTCTAGATCTTGGCAGTGTGCTCTCTCTAGAAGGCAGCATGGGCTTGGTAGAGCCGGAAAGGCAGTGCAAGCTGTTGCCCTCCCCCAGGGGCACCTGGATGAGGCTGGGGGTCAGCCCTTACTGTTTATTTTGCTCTCCTCCTTTTCCTTCCACTCCTGGAGCTCAGACCTCAACTGCTGCACCCTCTTCTTGTTCGAGTACTCCAAGATGTCGATGACATTCTAGGGAAGGAGCGAGGTCAGCTGACCACCAGCCTCTGCTGGCTCTCCAGCTCTTAGTGGGCTGTGGCCACAGAGTACTTCCATAACCCACTCCCAAGCCAGCAACCTGAGGAGAGGCTGGAGAGCCCCTACCTCCCACTCCAGGCCTCAATGGACCCCTTGCCATGGCCTGGGGCAAACGTCTTTCCCGCGTCCCTCGCTCACTCACACCTTGCTGTCCAGCCATCCAACTCCTTATGTGCCCTTTTGCTCCCTCTCAGCCCACGTCTGGGGCATCTGTTTCCTCTGCCTGCAACACTCATCCATTCAAGCTTCACCAGTTCACACCTCTGTAGGCTTCCGCTTAAGTATATGGCTTTCCGCAGGGAGTCTTCTTGATGCTCCAATGTCTGAGTCAGAGGTCCCCTTGGGACTCCCCAAGTCCTCTCCCATCCAGTATAGCACATAGCCAATGCTAACTGCAACTGCCTGTGACCCCATTAGAGGGAAGACTTTGTGTGGGCCAGGTGACTCATCATGGCTGCTCCCCAGGGCCCATAGGTACACCCAGGATGGTCCAAGGGGCTAGAGGAACGGCTCAGCTGACTTCAATCCCCAGTACCCACAGTAAAAAGCCAGGTGTGATGCTGCAGGTTTATAGTCCCAGCTCTGGGCCTGCAGAGACAGGTAGATCCCTGAGGCAGTCAGCTGAGTCTAACACACAAGCCTCAGGTCCCAGGGAGAGACCCTGTCTCAAAGAAGATGGCCAGCTCCTGAGAAACAGCATCACCTAATGGCTACCACGTGCGAGGGTGTGTGTGTGTGTGTGTGTGTGTGTGTGTGTGTGTGTGTACAGGAAGTTTGCTTGGGCTGAAGAACTGTGTGGCTTTTGTCTCTGTTAAAATTAGACTTTTGTCTACCAAAGCTTCTTAGGTGTAACTTCTCTTGGAGATAACACCCTTAGGGAAGTAAATAAGTGATTGAGGTCACAAGGACAGTGTGTCCCCACAAGACAGCAGCACTCTCTCTACACACAGAGAGAGAAAAAAAAAAAAAGCATAGTAGGACCTAAGAAGATGGTCATCTGCAGAATAGAAGAAAGGCTACAACAGAAGCCAGCCCTGCTGACCCCTTGACCTTGAACTTCCAGTCTCTACTGCTATGGAAGCTCTCCACCACGGCAGCCTGAGAGATGAATCCACCCCCACAGTCTGAACCTTTCTCTTCATCTCACAGACTCCAGGTCATCTCTGGGCAGAATGACGTCATAGAGAAATCATTCATCCACTCTCTGACTCTTCTCCAGCCCAGACTGTCAGGCCCTGTGACCTCCCACCCTCTCACCCCAGCACAAGGAGGGTGCTTTGCCAAGCTGCTCTTCACCCACAGACCCTACATGCCACCTCCGAGTTTCATTATAGCAGCGTGGGCCCCAGATAGTAGTATAGTTGTTCCTCTCCCTGACCCCCAGCAAGTTAACAGTGAACTCAATCAACTGTACTCCCTAAAAACAAAGGTAGCAGGGCAAGGAAGGCACAGATCCTGGGGTAAGGCTGCCTGGGTTCAAATCCTGGCTCCTTGCTATCTGGATGACCTGGAGCAAGTTCAATCCCCTGGCCTTGTGCTTTCCGTTTCTTTCCTGTAAAATGAGGACAAGAATAGCACCCACCCTGTCAAAATGTTGTGAGGTATATGTGACTGTATATAGCGCATTTGGTGTCTCACTGTGGTCGCCTGGCCAGCAGTGGTGGTAGTGGCTGCACCAAATACTTTCTACTGCACAAACGCCAGGAGTAGCCACAACCTCCCATTTGATGTTGTATTATTGTGATCCACTCCACCAAGTTCCAAGATACAACGTCAGCCCGAACTCTCCCTGATGGTAAGTGGGGATGAAGAGAGGCATTGCGTTTTCTCAGGTAGGTCGGGAGTGGCCAGCAGAGGGCGCGCCGGCACAGGAAGGAAGCTAGAAGAGGAGAGGTGGAGGCTCACCCCGAGAATGCCCTGCTGCTGCAGCATTTCGCGCACATTCATGGCCATGGTCTCCTCCATGTCCTGAATGGACTTGACGAGTTCCTGGTTGAGCTTGCTGAGGAAGCCCTCGTGGCTGTAGAGCTCCTGGAGTGAGGTCCGCTGGTTTCGAAGCATCGACTGTAGGAGGGGAGGAAGATAGCACTGTACCTAACTTGCAGAGGAGGGGGGTGGGGGGAAGGGCAGTGCTGAGAACCCAAGGCCTCCTGTAGTAAATGCTGCCAGGTGATTCCCCATCCCGTGCAGGTCAGAGTGCCTGGAAATGGAGACAACTAAGCAAGACACACACACACACACACACATACACACACACACACACACACACACACACACACACACACAAAATGTCACATCTCTAAGATGAGAATTCATCCTACAGTAGGTGGCTTATCACCATCTAATTAACAAACATCAATAGATAAGGATACTAAAGACCTCTTCAAATCAAAGAAAACTAGAAAGAATGAACATGATAATGGCCTAGTTAGGTAAGAAGGCGGCAGAGATGACAGGCTAGGTTTGGACCAGAAGCAGGGAATGGTGGAGAAGAATACCCACATTTTCTTATCAGGCAAAATGCCCCTGTGGAAAGTGAGTCTGAAGGGGTAAGTGATTTGCCCAAGGTGACACCCAGTGGTACATAAGATCGATAGTGTTAGTGGTTAATAACAAATAATTTTAATAACTGCCCTACTGCCCTACATGAGGGTGGCCAAGTGCTGTGACTTGCTCTACGGTGACACATGGGATCTTTTCGCCCTGCAGCTCCCAAGTGGAGGCTCACAGAGGTTAAATGACACTGTCACACGGCCAGGAACCGACAGCGTCAAGACAGGGGAGCCGGACTTCAGAGACTCACAGTCTCTTTCCGCTACCCCACCACAAGAACTCAGGGATTGGTGCTGCAAGAAGCCCAGTGCGTGGTGGCACAGGCATTATCTCACAGCACGGGCCAAGGCAAGAGGACCGCATGGGTGATCCGTGTGAGTGAGGTAGAAATGCCCTGTCTCACAAAGCAAAGAAGGCCGGGTGGTGGCGGCACACACCTGTAGTCCCAGCACTCGGGAGGCAGAGGCAGGAGGATCTCTGTGAGTTCAAGGCCAGCCTGGTCTACAGAGTGAGTTCCAGGACAGCCAAGGCTACACAGAGAAACCCTGTCTCAAAAAAAATAAAATAAATAAAAATAAAAATAAAAGGAGGAAGGGAGGAAGAGAGGGAGGAGGAGAAGCTATGAGACGCTGGCTCACAGTGTGAATAGGACTAGGCTCTCCCAGATCTGCCATGGGGGTGAGGGGAACCTGGAGAAGTTAATTAACCTCAGATAACTCACTGATACTCATTCTAAGCAGCTAATAACTAATTGCTGCTTCAGAGAACTGCCATTTAGGAATGAGATAAAATCTCCAACGCTGCCACTGGGGCAATGTGGTAAGCGAGCCCAATGTGTGCACAGCAAACAGCTGACACTGGTTTCTTTGGCTCTAGTGTCCCCTAGCTACCCCCAGCAACACTCACGCGCGTGCGTGCGCACGCGGGCGCGCGCACGCACACACACACACACACACACACACACACACACACACACACACACACCGCTCCCGTTTCCATCCTGTCTGAGTGTTCTCTTCTCTAGTCTTTATGGTCATCCTGATTTGACCATCTGCCCTGGCCCTCAGCTCCTGTGTGCTGTACCAGATAACAATACCAGTGCAGGTGCAGCGTGGCTGCTATGTGCCAGCGCTATGTCCTGCCCTCGCTTTACCTCACAGCAAGCCTAGGAGACATGCACTGATTAGTCTCACTTCATAGAAGTTCAGATTCCACAGCATACCCAAGGTCACACACAGCAGAGCTATTGTCCATCGCTAATAACCACTCCACTTTTTTGCTCCCACATCCCAAGACCCCAAAATACAAAAAAAAAAAAAAAAAAAAAAAAAAGCCATTCTCAAGTCCCTAGGAACAGAGCTCAAATTGCTGGTGGAATGAAAAGCTGGGAATACACATTGATAACCTGGTTACTCTGAGAAATGGGATTTTATGACCTCTGCTCCAGAAATGTATGTGTCTGACCGCAGATCTGGCGTGGTATGGTGCTGTCTCCTGCGTGATCATGCCGTCAACATGCAGTCATGCAATTACTATGTGTAGCTGTGTCTCCACTCGCAGCTACTTCCTTCTAGGACCCCTACCCCACACAAGGGCCCCTTCAGCCTGCACTCCAGACTTAGGCGTGGCCCCTCACCTGTATGTTATTGCCATGTTTGTGGTCGTTATTTGAAACAGGTTCTCATTCTGTGGTCCAAGCTGGCCTTGAACTCACCATGCAGCCTGAGCAGTCCTCCTGCCTCAGACTCCCAAGCGCTGGGGTCACAGGAATGAGCTATCATGGCCTATGGCTTATCACTTCACATTTAATATATGTGTCTCCCCAAGGTCAGAGCCCAGCCCTGGCGAATCTCCAAGCTCAAAGTACAGCAAGTGTTCAGTCAGGACCTGCTGACGGAATGAATGAATGAATGAATGAGTGAATGAATGAATGAATGCTTACAAAAGACGGCATGAAGAACTGCTGAGGGGCACAATTTACTGCAACGGTGGCCATGTCCATACCGTGTGTCACATAAAAACACACAAACTCCCCTACAGTCAGGATAGAAAGAACATCAGAAACAGACCTTCCTACAAATGATGGACCCATTGAAGCCATCTGGCAAAATCACAGCTGAAGGGAAAAACACAGGTTTTTGTTTTTATTTTTGAGACAGATTCTCACAATTTAACACTTACTGGCCTGGAACTATGTTTGAGGTCACTCTCTGCTACATAGTGAGTTAAGGCAAGCTAGCAAACTAGACCAATCTTTTAAAAGAAAAAAAAAAAACTTTAAAATATGGATCAATCCAGGCTGTGGTAGCACATGCCTTTAATCCCAGCACTCAGGAGGCAGAGGCAGGCAGATCTCTGTGAATTGGAGGCCATCCTGGTCTATGGAGTGAGTTCTTGGACAGCCAGAGGAGTTACACAAAGAAACTCTATCTCAAAAAACAAAAATCATCATCATAATAATAATAATAATAATAAAATATGATTTAAGTGATTAACGAAGCTGTAAAACAATGTATAACAACGGTGGGCATGGCAACACACACCTGTGTCCCAGCACTCTGGAGGCAGGGACAGCAGATTGTGAGTTCAAGGCTAGCCTGTTACCCAGTGAGACATGGCCTGGGGAGGGAGGTGGGAAATGAGTTAGCTACAATGGTACCAGCTGATGTGAAGAACCTTTTCCAAGTAGCACTCCCAGATGAGCAGGGCTCTGTGTGCTGCCAGCACTAAGACAAGCCACTGGTATACTTCCAATGCAGAGAACTAGTCTAAGCCTTTCAGTCTAAACACAACAGCCCAATCTGAGCTGCTTTGGCCCCCATGCCACAGTTTTCTGGCTGTGCGACCTGGTACAAGCCATTTCTTTCCCCGTCTGCAAAATGAAAGGAGTGAAGTGTGCACACAGCTTGCCAGCTTGCCATGGGGAGGAAACGGACGGTCTGAGGAGCAGACCGTCTGCTGCTCTGGGCCTCTCTTACCCGCATCAGCCGAACTTTGGCCTGCATCTTCCCATGGTGTGCTTGTTCTCTTCTTCGAAGTCCTCGTAGATTCTTTGCTAAGTTTGCCATCTCTACAGAGGTCTGGGACTGCACTGCTGAGGACAGATGGGGAAGGGCAGAGAGAATGGGGGTACACCCAGGCCTGGGCTCAGGTCCCCAGACAGTGCAATCAGCTGGGCCCAGCCCCAGCCCACTCATATACAGGTTTGCCGTGTAGCACAAACAAGGGTGAAGCTGCTGCCCACGAGAAACACCCAGCTCTACGCTGGGCCTTGTTTTGGGGCGGGAAAGCCCAGAAGAATGCAGTGATGTGGGGGTGACTGAGGGGTGGCTAGCAAGAGCAGAGATGGCCAGGGTATAAGCTTCAGTTTCCCTTCAGGGTCAGTCTATTCCCTGGAAGGTGAACTTAAAGAAAACATTGAGGGAAACCAGGCCAACCTTACTGTCAACCAGACAAAAGTCAAGAACTACCACCACCATCATCCCTACCACAGCCAGGCATGGTGATACATGCCTTTAACACTTGGGAGGCAAAGACAGGAGGATCTCTTTCAAGTTAGAGGCTAGCCAAGACTACATAGAAAGACCTGTCTCAAAAAATAAAATGAAGAGCCTCCCCCCTCTGTGTTCCTCCAGCTCCTGACACAGAGAGGGGCAGCAAGTGGGTCACCATGTCCAACAAACCCAAATCCCTGCTCTCCCCACCTGGCGGGGAGAAAGGTCAGCTGAGGCAAGAAGGGCTTTCTAGCAGCTCTGGCACCTGGAAGGCCACATGGTCTCCAGTCCCTCAGTCCTCCTATAAGATGGGAACAGCCATGCCCGCCTCATAGGTGGGTCATGAAGACTGGATGAGACATCAGTGTGCCCTAAGGCGTTTAACACAGTAACTGTCACATCTTCAGGGCTGGCTCCTTGCTCCTAGCTACTATCATGTCTAGTGATCACAGAAGCTATGCACAACTCCTCCCCCGCCCCCAGCCATCTCTGCAACACCGTGAGTGGCAATCAGACAGAGTAAAGGCTCTTCCCGAGCAAATGCTTAGGATAGGAATACAGCTCAGCTGGTACCATGCTGGCCCAGCATGCACAAAGCCTTGAATTTAATCCTTAATACTGCATCAACTGGGCATGGTGGTTCCAGCCTATACTCCCAGCACTGAGGACGTGGAAGCAGGAGGATGACAGCCTGGGCTGCATGGGAAGGGAGGGAGGGAGGGGAGAGGCATAGGGTGGGGGAAAGAAACCCTGCTTCCTATCAGACAGTTCTGTACCAACACGGAACCACCACTCAGCTGCTCCTCTCCAGCCTCATCTCCACCAACATCCCTACTCTGAGTACAGCTGCTCACTTGAGAACCATACTAAGTATTTAACAGGCCAAGATCCTTAATTCTGGGAAATTTTAATATTAAGTGCTGAGATGATAAGTTACTCTTACTACATATATGCTAACTACATAGATAGCTCTCTCCTAATCCTCCTGCCTCTGCCTCTCAAGTGTTGGGCTCACAGGCAGGTGCTAAACTAAACTATTGGGACTTTAGAAGAATGTAAGATTGCCCACAGGTACAAGCCTGCTGTTAAGATATACAGAAGTATTACTTTTCTGTTTGTACCTTGTTGGATTTTTTGGTATGTGCATGTGTGTTTTCATATGTTAGGACAGGTGAGTGTACAAGTGCATGTGTGTGATCATGCATGAGGAGGCAGAGATTGTCAACAATTGCTATCTTCATTAGCTCTCCACCTTATTATATCGAGCACAGCCTCTCACCTGAATCCAGAGCTTAGCAATTCAGCCAGTCTAGCTAGCTGGCCAGCCACAGAGACTGGCAGGTCACTGGGGCCTGCAGGCTTCCATCGTAGCTGAGAAAACTTGATCCCCAGGTTCAGGGAGAGAACCTGCTTCAGAGGAGTAGGTGGCGTGTGATAGAGGGCACTCAGCACCTTCTTCTGGCCTCTCTACACATGCACACTAATGTGTGCCCCTGCCCACACATGTGCTTATACATTCACATACAAAAATATTGTAATAAATTTAAAAAGGAGAAGTACTGAGATGTATAGGAACATCTCATTATTTCATCTGAGACAGCCAACATCATTTCAGAGAGCTACGTCTTTCTGCAAGCCACCAGTGACATATGCACGGCCCAGTTTTCCTTTACCAGCTTTGGATGTTGTACAGATTTTCCTAGGGGGATGTGATGATATTTTGTTTGTGATCTAACAATAAAGCTTGCCTAAAAATCAGGGTACAAAGCTAGCCACACTAGTTAGCCACAGAGTCCAGACAGTGGTGGCACACACCTTTAATCCCAGTGCTCGTGATCTCTGTTAGTTCAAGGCAACCCTGGGCTAATGAAATCGATCCAGTCTAAAAGAGAAACAGAGCTCACACAAAAGTAACCCCAGTACTTGGGAGTGACACGCCTTTAATCCAGCACTAAGGAGGTGGATACAGAAAGGAATATGGCTGGGCTGAGAGAGGAATATAAAACGGGACGAGACAGGAGCTCAAGGCAGTTTGAGCAGCAGTTAGTCTGAAGCAGTCTGAGGATGGGATGCAGTCTGAGGATTCGTAGGGACAGGATTGCTGCTTTTAGTCTGAGCACTGGTAGAGAGAGGTAAGAACTCTAGTGGCTGGCCATTCTGCTTCTCTGATCCTTCAGCTTTCATCCCCGATAGCTGCCTCTGAGTTTTTATTATTAAGACAAAAGAGAATTTGTGCTACAGGGGGATATGAGGAAAAAGTCTGTCCACCCCATACAGGGCATGGATGCCAAACCAAAGAATGACTCCACCCAAGTCTAGCTTAGGGAACCAGTAAGCTTATTGGGGCCACTTACAGGAGTGTGGACATGGGCTTAGAAGGGTGTGGGCAACTCAAACCCACCCCCAAATGGGTGACAGTTCATAAAAGCTGCATATCATAGCATATGTGTAGAAATCAGGGGACAGCTTTCTGGTGGGGGGGGGTGGGTCTCACCTTCCACCACATGGGACCTAGGGATTGAACTCGGGTCATCACTTTAACTGGTTGAGCCATCCTTTTACTCTGATGGACTCCAGTATAACTATTTTTCTTCCCTGGACTGAGCTTCCTGGAATTGAAGTTACAAACCTGTTCAGTGTGGGTGTTGGGAACCAAACCCAGGCCCTCTGGAAATGCTCTTAACCACTGAGCCTTCTGTCCAGCACCCCTCTCTCTGCTTTGTATTTTAAGGCTGAGTCTTGCTAAGTTGCCCTGGCAAACCTTTAACTGACTATCATCAGTTAGGATCACAGGCCTGGGCCACCAGGCTTAGCTTGGCCAACTGCCTTTTTAAAATATACATACAATATTTCTCATTTACTCCTTCCTCCTCCACCCAATTCCTCCAGGACACACCCCCATGTCTTCCTCCCAGCCTCAATTTCATATCTTTATAACTCTCTCTCATATTCATCTTCATATAACTCATCTCATATTCTCTTCAGCCACTGAAGCACAGGCAACCTCCAAGAGTACCAGGCATGCAAGTGGTACATACACATACATGCAGGTAAAATAATACACATGAGATAAAAGTAATTTTTAAGGGGGCTGGAGAGATGGCTCAGCAGTTAATACTGGCTGCTCTTCCAGAGGACCAGGGTTCAATTCCCAGCACCTACATGGCAGCTCACAACTGTTCCAGGGTATCTAACACCCTCATACAGATAGACATGCAAGCAAAGCACCTACTTTTTAAAAAAGAAATGAAAAATAAATTTTAAAAACTCAAAAAGATGGTTTGGGGTGTAGCTCAGTAGTTATGGACCTGTGCTGTCATGCCCACTTTCACATGAGAGCTGGTGATCTGGACTCAGGTTTGCAGGACAAACACTTTACTCTCTCACCTTCCCTGTATTTCTTCAAACAAGGAATGGTCCAAATACCTGTTCTTTAGTCTGGACTTGGTGTCAGAGGGAGGGGGATTTCTATGAGTTTGAACTTGTTCTACGTACTGAGACCTTCCTGACTCACATAAATATAATATGTAAAAAATATATGTATATAAAGAGGTTCTGGGGGTAGATAGGATGCAGATTGGCTTTTCCTGGGGAGGTGTGAACATTTAGACAGGGCACCAACAATAGACCAGATACATTATTCTACCTGAATCTAGCCAGTGGAGCCAGTGTTTACTGGGGTTACTTGAAGGAGTATGAGTTAAGGATGACTTAAGAGATCACAGGTGGCAGAGATAGCTCATAGGCAGCTGCATCCCCCAAAGCCCACCCAAGCATGGGTGAACGTTTGTGAAAACTGCCTTCCTAGAGCTCCCTGCTTGAAAACAGCTCTGCCATCACTCTCTGAACAGCTGTAACGATTCATGAATCCTAGAGAAGGGATCTTCCAACTCTTTATTTAAGGAATTTCTTGAGCCTTAAAACTTTCCTTTGCTTCCTAAGCCCTGTAAGTTTCCTTTACTTCTCCCTCCATGGGGTTAGGGGGGGTCTGTTAGCAGGAAATAGCTACATAACACAAGGGCTACTCTTTATAGTTCAGGTTACCCTTGAACTCATGATCTACTGACTTTTTCTCCTGAATGCTGGAGGGATCATCTGGGTGTACCACAGAGCCTAGCCCACACAATCCTTTTTCAGTTACCAGAAAGATGAAAGACTCTTCCAAGTGAGCAAACAGCATTGCCAAGACCTCAGAATTTCCCTGGGAAGGTTAACAATGCTGTGATGGAGTCTATTAATTCCCCAAACTGTTTGTTCCCATCCTGAACATAGAGCCAGCTTCCCAGGCAGACATGGCCATGTGATCAGAGTTACAACCCACAGAAGGAGTGCAAATGGTATGTGTCACTTCAGGTCTGGGTCCCCTTGTTCTTGTTCTCTCTTTCTTCTCTGCCAGCAGATGTTCTCAAGGGCTTACCAAACGTTAAACCCATGAGGCTAAAGGAGGAGTAAATATGATAGAACACTAGATAGATAGATAGATAGATAGATAGATAGATAGATAGATAGATATATCAGAGTAAATGAGAAATACTGTCTGTATATTTTAAAAAGCCAGTTGGCCAAGCTAGGCCTGGTGGCCCAGGCCTGTAATCCTAACTACTTAAGAGTTTGCAGGACAAACGCTGAATCACTGTATGGAACAGACCAGCCTCTCCCACACATCTACAAATACATTCCTTAGAAAATGAACTTCCATATCAGTACCTGAAGATTGAAGGCTATTTGTCATATTAGTTAACCTAATATGAACAGTGTAAAGGACCAAAAGCAGCTATTCCAGCTTATCCCCAACACCCACCATAGCTCCCCAGAGCCTCTGCCCACCTGGCTGGATACTAGACCAAGTCTTCATTTTGCTTTTGCTGTGGCCTTTGGCTTGTCGGAGAGGAGGCAGAGTAGACGGCTTCAGGTTCTTCCCTGACCACTGTTAGGGAACACAATGCACCACACGTAACACAGTCAGTTCCAGGCTCTGAGGGTTCAGCTCCAGCTTGCCCTTTTCGGGTTACCTGTATCCTAGAGCAAGCAACCTGAGCTCGAAGCCTTGATTTTCTCATTCGTAAAGTGAACCTAATAACTCAGCCTAAGGCCTTGAGTTGTGAGAGGTATTTGCAAAACTTCTGTTGTATCAAGTAGCCAGAACTCACCAAAAGCATGTAGGCCATGAGATACTAAGAACTTGAAGAAACCGAAAGCATGGAAAACTCCCAAGACCCACCCTCTGGCAAGTGGAGCAGCAATGAGATCAGTGAGCAGCTTGATTCACCCTTTCGATCGGGTAATGAGTGGCATTAAGTGAGTTTCAGAGGCTTGCTTCAGAGGCTCTGCTAGGCTTGACATTCAGGTCCAGGCTCAGTTATCACGACCATGGGAGCTGACGGCAGGTAGAACACAGGATCATGGAGACCTCCACCCACACCGGTCCATCCTGTCCACCCTTCCGGGACTCACCAGTACTTGAGACTTGTGCCCTGAGGAATGAGTCCTAGGGTAGGTTTGTCTGGAAAGAATAAGGAGTGGGTGGGAGAACTTCCATCAATCCCAGCTCAAGGAGTGATCCTACTCTTTACCAAGCACACCAGCGAGCTGGAGCCTGGAGAGCAAAGGCCCACGCATGCGTGCTTCGCCACCCGGCCACGCTCTCTGCTTACTTGTGAGCCATTGGGGAAAGAGGAGTCCTGATCTTCTAGGCACAGACCGTCTCCAGAAGCCCGTGAAGCTTCTGCTACTTCTTGTCTCAGAATGGATCCCAAGGAGACCAGCGCTTTCCCTAACGCCTGGTCTCCAAGGAAACGCAACTGTGTAGAGCAGAGGGAAATTAACCTGCCAGACAAAACTGCCAGGAACGCACCAACCTGGTTTCAAACGTCTTTCTCTTTCCCTCCACCATCATCAAACTTTCATCAGATTTGCTTTTTCGTCCTCACTCCTGACTGTGCTTCGTACTTCATCAAGAATATCATGGAGATTAGGAAACATGACGCGTTCATAACACACACAAACTTCCTGCATCCATGGATTAATCTCCACCCCTGACCAGTTCCCACACTTCCGCTCCAATCCCATATGCTCCCATTTTCTCAAAGATATTCGAAGAGCACGAAATCAAGCCAAGCCACTTTCCAGCGTGAATGAGGCCCTCAGGAGCAGAGGAGCTATTGACAGTTGATGGTTGCTAGGGAAGTGAAAGTCAGCTTTCTTTAGGGGTATGGCCTGGTAAACCACCCATGCTCCAGAAGATGGCCCCACACCCATGCGTGTGAAGACAGCAAGCATTGAATTCAGTGGCTTGTAAAGGAAGAGGACAAGAAGTTGGGAGGGGGATGGGAGAGTGGACCGGGAGGGGAGAGTGGGGAGTACAAATGATTGCAGTAAGGTGTAAGCATTGTGAAACTCTCAAAGGGTAAATTGGAGAGGGGAGACTAGGCTTCTTGAGGGGAGGGAGGGCTGATTTTCTGTTCAGCTTTGGCTGGCTTGGAACTGAGGCTTCCCACCTCTGCCTCCCAAGTATTGAATTAAAAGCATGTGCCACCATGCCCAGCTGACACGGGCTCTCTATGTCTCAGTGCCCTCCTGGTTTTCTCCTACATTTCTTCTCTCTTCTTTGAAGCATACTCACTTACATAACCAACAGAGCTTCATTTCTTCTGTACAAAAAGTGACCACTTCCCTGCTGTCCACCCTCCCACAAAGCTCTCCTCTCCCCTAACACTGCCTTTATCAACCTCATCCCTGACTTCCCCTTTACTAAATCCCTTCATCATTTCTCAATCATCACCTTATTGGGCCTTTCTCCAGCATTGGACACAGCAAATCACCTCCTGCCTTGAAGTATTTACATAAGTCAATGTCCAGGAAGCTACTCTTTTGAACAGCTTCCTTCTTCCTTTTCAGCCTCCTTCTTGGCTCTTCTTATTCTGTCTGTCATTAGCATGTCCCAAGGCTCCCGTCAGGCCCTCTCCTCTCTGTCACTCTTACCCCTTCTGCTGCAGGGATCTCATGGCAGCATCTAAGGCAGCAGGTCCTACTGCATGAGCGGTCAGGACAGGGAGAGAAGATGCAAATTGTTCAGCTTGCTTTTTCCCTTTTATTCAGTCCAGGCCCCACAACACACACACACACACACACACACACACACACACACACACACACACGGAATGGTGCCATTTACATTTAGGCTTGTCTTCCCATTTCAATTAACCTAATGTAGGAAATCCCTCACAGAAATCTGTTTCCATGGTAACCCTAAATCCCACCAAGCTAACAACCAAGGTTAACCTTCACTCTCATGGCTTTCTCTCCAGTCCAGGCCTCCATACTAAAAATTACAGCTGCATGCACCCAATTGCCTAGTTAATGTCACAGCTTGGGTGTCTAAAAGGCATCTGTAATCCGTGCTATCCCTGAACTCTGTATCTTCTTTCTTGAAGGCATTCTTGACTTTTCATCTGTTGTGGGATATTTTGAACACATTCTGACACTCCGAGACTGCCAATAAAGTTGACTTTGAATCAAGGAGGCTGGAGTTACCGATTAGCTGACCAGAATTAACCATAAGAGTTTTTGGTGGACGCAGATTAGGAGAGACACACACAGAAAGCAATAGAGAGGGGCTAACAAAGATTGCAGGGCCTTTAAGATATGGGAAGCATGGAGAAGCAGGGTCAGGTGATCTTTTCTCCATCACTCTATGATCTATCAGATTTTTACCCCAAAATCTGACTCCCAAATTTTATTTAATAATAGAACAATAAAATTAAGCTTCACTTATCCCACAATAAACCATGAGCAAAACCTGGAATGGTGGCCCACATCTGTAATCCCAACAAGACAGCCTGTCTCAAAAACAAAACAAAAAAAAAATCAAGATTATGTCTATAGTACCTTGAAAAGACATCTAAAACTGGATCATTTAACACTCAAACTATATGCATACATCCACACATATTCATGACCCTAAATTACAGTGCCACCTTCTACCTTCACCCTACTTCAGTTCTCTCTACACACACTAGGCTTGCTGGAACATATAGTTAAGAGAACTGCATTAGGGCTCTCTACAGCAGCAGAACTTATAGACTATACATAATATGGGGATTTATCGGAATGATTGGTCCAATTAATCCAACAATACAACAATGGCTGGCTATGAATGGAAAGTCCAAGAATGCAAAAGTTGCTGAGTCCACAGGGCTAGATGTCTCAACTGGTCTTCAGCAGACACTGAAATCCCTAAGAAGTAAGCTCCAGTGCCAATGAAGGATTGGATTTGCTAGCAAGGCAAGAGCAAGCAGGCAATGAGCAAAAGCTTCCTTCTCTGCCAATCTCTGTCCCAGGCTGCGGCACCAGTCAAGCTTACAACCAAGAATAGCTATCATAAGAATATTACCATGTAAAAGCAAGGGAGAAAGAGCAAATGACTTTAAACTCTCCAAAACTTCAACAGAAAGATGTTACCATAAACTACTAAGGCAAAGCTCTAAAATTTTTCCACCCTCTAAAACTCACAGGTGCTAGCAGGGCATGGTGGCACTCACCTGTAACCCCAGCACTCTGTAGATAGAGGAAGGAAGATCAAGTAGTTCAAGATTATCCTCATCTACAGAGCTGAGCTACATGACCACATAAGATTCTGTCTCTAAATAAATTTTTAAAAAAGAAAGCTGAGGTAGGGATCTAGGGAGATGGTTCCATGCCTCTTGGAGAGGACTTGGGTTTGATTCCCATCACCTACATAGTGGATAACAACCATATTAACTCCAGAGGATCCTACACTCTTTTCAGACCTCTACAGTCCTAGGCATGCACATGGTACACAAATACAGACACAGACAGAATATAAAAATGAATACTTAAAAAAGAAAGAAGGCTGAAGCAAGAGAATGGAGTTTCAAGCCAACCTCAAAAACAAAAACAAACAACAAACAAAAAACCAGCTCTCAGGAGGCAGAGGCAAGTGGATTTCTGTGAGTTCAAGGTAAGCCAAATCTACAGATCAAGTTCCAGGACAGCCAAAGCTACACAGAGAAACCCTGTCTTGGGAAAATAAATTAATTAATTAATTAAATAAAATCAAAATAAATAGCCAGGCATAGTGAATATGCTCATAATCCCAGAACATGAGAAGGAGGAAGGATTAGGAATTCAAGATCATCCCCTTAACTATAGTGAGCTTGAGGCCACTCTGGTTTACATGGATTCTGTATCAGAAAAGCCCAGAAGTAATTAATACATTTTTAAAAACCAAGGCAGAGGGCTGGGGGGAGGGGGTGTTGCTCACTAGCAGAGCATTGTCCTAGTATGCACAGGCCCTAGTTTCAACTCCTAGCATCATAGATATGGAGAGAGAGAGAAAGAGAGAGACAGAGAGAGGGAGGGAGAGAGAGGGAGGGGGAAAGGCAGAGAGAGAGAGAGAGAGAGAGAGACTACAGAACATTTCTATGTTGAGGGGAACTGAGAAAGTCCCAAGTAAATATGTGTTGAATTGAGCACAGTCATGTAAAAGCACCCCATGCTTCAGACCCATGACATGAAAGCCTTCTCTGGGGAAGGCTTGGGGAGTGGCAAACCCTCAGGCTGGCCTCAGTCCTCCAGGGTATTTACAGCCTGAAGCCACCCCCAACAAAGACCCCCTCTGAGACTAGCCACCTCCTCCCCCTGCTCTGCATAGTAAACACACTGTTTCCCACTTAACAGAAGGTACCTTCCATCTGAGCAAGGATAACCTACAATGATTCCGGCTTTTCTTAATTTTTAGTGTTTTTGTTATTTTGAGACAGGGTTTCTCTGTGTAGCCCTGGCTGCCCTTGAGCTCAATCTATAGACCAGGCTGGCGTCTAACTCACAGAAACCAGCCTGCCTCTGCCTCCTGAATGCCTCCACAATTCCCAGTTTTCTATAGGTGGGTGGTTAATCTCAACTGTCAATTCAATGAGCTCTGGAGTAACCTAGACTGGCCTCTGGGCAAGTCTATAGGGAATTGTGTTGATTAGGTAATTGAGGAAGGCCTACCCAGTGTGAGTGGTGCTATTCCCTGGCTGGGTCCTGAACTTATAAAATAGAAAGTGAACTGAGCAAAAGCTTGCACCCTATCTTTTGTCTGACAGTGATTGTAATATGATAAACTGCTCCAGGGTTTTGACTGTTTTGACTTCCCCACTATAATGGGCTGTATTTTGAACCCCTCCTGGAATACAGTTCTGGAGCTGGAGAGATGGCTCAGTGGTTAAGAGTGCTGGCTGCTCTTCCAGAGACCTCCATTTGATTCCAGCACCCACCATGGTGGCTCACAACCATCTATATTATTACAGTTCCAGGGGATCTGATGCCCTCTGCTTGCCTGCATGACCACCTGCATACATGTAGTGCATGTACATACACATAAAATAATCTTTAAAAATTTTAGCCAGACACTGGTGTCAGCATGCCTTTAATCCCAGCACTCAGGAAGCAGAGGCAAACTGACCTGAGTTCAAAGCTAACCTGGTCTACAAAGTTTCAGGATGGCCAGGACTACACTCGAAAAAATAAAAACATAAACTACACACGAGGCTGCCCATTGACTCTGTCAAGTGATCTGAACTCCTGCTTCCTTGCCTAAAAAACTGGTGTAGTTACAGCACTGGTTTTACAGAGGATGCTTCTATGTGATAAAGCCTGGAAAGTGCTTATTACACTATGGGGTACTTAAAAACTTTTAATATATGGTTATTGCCCACATGAGCAGGCTTTATGTGTTTTCTAATTTTTTTTTTTTTTTTTTTTTTTTTTTTTTTTTGTGCCTATGTGGACTGGCATTGCATACCAAGTCAGGAAACAATTTGGTGTTTCTTTCTTTCCCTTCAAGTAGGTTCCAAGGATCCAACTCAGATCTCCAGGGTTATGCTTCAAGCACCTTGACCTGCTAAGGATTCCACGGACCTGTTTTGTTTCCTCTCCATTCTTAGTGTGTCTTTGTGTTCTTGTCTATAAAACCACGGTGGAGGTGAAGTAGCTTCAGGAAGAGTCAATGCTTTCTTTCCACCATACTGGTCTGGTCCCAGGGATGGAACCCAGGGACCGTGTGACAGCAAGGGCCTTTGCCCACCTACCAAGCCACTTTATCCCCGTTTTGTGCTTTGTGACAAGGTTTTTCTGTTTCTCTTGCTAGTCTGGCTTAGCCCACACTAGGTAGATCTAGCTGAATTTGCCTCTATTTCCCAACACATATGTGGACCATTATGCCTAGCCCACACAAGTTCTGCAAAATACAAGTAATGTACAGTACTTGTAAATGAACCAGTATAAATACCAGCGAATAGATATAGATGTAGAAATTAAGTATGGGCACACACACAATTTTTTAAAAGTATGTAGCTGGGGGGGTCTGGAACTCAGATTTGCCAGACTCTACCTTTTAAGTGCTGGAATTAAACATGTGTGCCACCATTGCAACGTATTTTTATTTTTAACGATGTGTATATGTGTGTGTGTGTGTGCACGAATCCCTGTAGAAGCAGAAGCGGCAGTTACAGTCAGTTGTAAGTCGCCTGACACTGAGCCTCCTCTCCAGCTCTTAAAAAAAAAAAAAAAATGCCAAAAAGTTAATGGGAAAGTCTTCACAAAAAAAATAATAATAATAATAATAATAACTTCTCTGTATATTTGAAAGTGTTCATAACCTAAAAATGGCGGGAAAAAATTAATGTCTTGTGCTCCAGGGGCCTCCATTTCTTTTGCTTTTTAACATAAAAGCATCACTCAAACGATGAGCGAGATCGTGGTGAACTCTGTACGGTCTTTGGACGAGCTCCTGGAATGAAATCGAGGCCTGCTTGCGAAACGCCAAAACCTCGAGAGCGAGGCCGCGGGCCCAGCCTCCAGGGCAAGGGCGGGCGAGCGGGCGAGCGGGCGGGCGGGCTCGGCCCTCCGCAGGGAGGAGGCTGGCGGGGGCCAGGGCTGTCTCCGGCCAGCACGAGATTCGGGCACACAACACTTCCAGGAGAGCGGAAGCCTGAAGCGTCGGGTTTCAGAGCGGGGCGGGGAGTCGCCCACGCAGCCCGCAGCCCGCATCCCTCATCCCGAGCAGGCGCGCGCCATGGGCATCTCGAGCCGCGGGAGCGAGTGGAGGATGCTGGGAAAGAGGTAACATGGCCACCGGCGGCGGAGCAGAGGAGCATCTACAGCGGGGCCGGCTGCAGCTCCCGCTGCCCGCGCGGCCCGCCGCCCGCGCCGAGGAAGCCGAGGGCGTCCGCGAGAAGATGGGCTGGGCGCAGGTAGTTAAGAACCTGGCGGAGAAGAAGGGCGACTTCCGCGAGCCGCGCCGGCGCGACGAGGCAGGCAGCGGTGCGAGCGGCGGGCTCGGCAGCCCCGCGGGCCTGACCGCACCGAACCCCGGCGACTTCCCACCCGCCGGCCGCGGGGACCCAAAGGGCCGCCGTAGAGACCCTGCGGGCGAGGCGGCAGACGCTTGCAGGAAGAAGGACGCGGCAGACGTGAGTCGAAGGAAGAAGGCCGAGGTGGCGGCGCCCATGGCGACCCCCGCCAGGCCCGGCGCGAGCGAAGACGCAACCGAGAGGCCGCTACAGGACGAGCCTTCGGCCGCCGTCCCGGGGAAGGGCCGCTTCCTCGTGCGCATCTGTTTCCAGGGAGACGAGAGTGCCTGTCCGACCCGGGATTTCGTGGTGGGCGCGCTCATCCTGCGCTCCATCGGCATGGACCCCGACGACATCTACGCGGTCATCCAGATCCCCGGCAGCCGCGAGTTCGACGTGAGCTTCCGATCCGCCGACAAGCTAGCCCTGTTCCTCCGCGTGTACGAGGAGAAGCGAGAGCTGGAGGACTGCTGGGAGAACTTTGTGGTGTTGGGGCGGAGCAAGTCGAGCTTGAAGACCCTCTTCATTCTCTTCCGGAACGAGACCGTGGACGTGGAGGACATCGTGACCTGGCTCAAGCGCCACTGCGACGTGCTGGCCGTGCCCGTGAAAGTGACCGACAGGTTTGGGATCTGGACCGGCGAGTACAAGTGCGAGATCGAGCTGCGCCAGGGGGAGGGCGGAGTGAGGCACCTGCCCGGGGCCTTCTTCTTGGGAGCGGAGCGGGGCTACAGTTGGTACAAGGGGCAGCCCAAGACGTGCTTTAAGTGTGGTTCCCGGACCCACATGAGCGGCACCTGCACGCAGGACAGGTGTTTCAGGTGCGGGGAGGAGGGGCACCTGAGCCCTTACTGCCGGAAGGTCATCGTGTGCAACCTCTGTGGCAAGAGAGGGCACGCCTTTGCCCAATGTCCCAAAGCGGTTCACAATTCCGTGGCAGCTCAGCTCACCGGCGTGGCGGGCCACTGAACGCACGTCTGCCTGCCGGGGTGAGTGAACACTCAGCCAGCTTACCCTTCATAAGTGCCAAAACTTTTTTTTTTTTTAAGACCATTTTTTTATCGTTTTGGAAGGAGATATTTCTAAAACCTAACAGACATTCTCTCTTACGCCTTTTTAAAACCACGTGTGCTCCTTTTCGGCCTGTTTGAAATGGTGAATTTTACCAGGAAGGACTATTCGGAACTGTAGCATGCAGATACGTGGCCTGCCTCCCTGTTTTCCCCTCCCATCTTGCATTTGTTTTGGTACTTTGGTCGACACCCCGTCGTCTCCTTTGTACTTTTTACTACCTCCCTCCTAATACATTGTCTCCGTAGAAGATTTTTGCCCTTTGGGCTGTCCTGCTCATCCTTATACCTCCGCCGCGGGTACAGGGCCCAACGCGGGACTCCACTAAGTGTTTATTGAGTCGAAAACGTTTCTGTCAAGAGTGCCTACGTTCTGCAGCTCTCCGCTGGGCTCTTTTCATTTGCTGCTTCTATGTGATATGAGAATTTGTGAAAACAGTGTTGCTGGAAGTGTGTGATCTGAATAAGCTCTGAATGGTGGCCAAGGGCCTCTCCTAGCATAAAAATGTATCTGCTTTGTGACAGCTCCTTGTGGTGACTCAGAAGCCCTTCTATAGGAGCGTGGAACTGAGGCAGTTCTGCTGGAAAAGACCCAAGAGGTGGCTTTTGTTGGATTTTCTTTGGGGGAGGTTGCTTTCATTTTCTTTTTGATTTGAGACAGGGTCTCCTTGTAGCCCTGACCGGCTTGGAACTGGCTGCATTGGCTGCCAGGCTGGCTTCAAACTTAAGTGATCCTGTCACCTCTGCCTCCCTGAGGGTTTTTTACACTAATCCCTTGGTTTTCCAGCAGATGAAGTGAACCCAGAGACGTTAAATGACTGGGTCAAAGTCCACAGCTGTGTGTCGCCTCATATCGTCCATAGTAGAGTCCCCTGACCCCCAGCCCGGTGCTCATCCCACTACCTCTCACACTTCACAACAATCTCCTCGACACGACACCGGTGGGCCAAGGAAGTCTGTCTGCTCCCTCCATGGTGATGATCCCAGCATAAAGCTGAGAATCCATCCCCTGAACGCAGAAAGAGAAAGCTTGGCTTGCCACTTGATAGTACTAGGGAGCTAGGGAAAGGACCAGCGAACATACTCCGGGCCTCATGAGTCCGTCCTTAGGAGTACCACATCTTAAATGTTCCAAGGCCTTCCCCTCCAGCTGCCACTGTAATCAGTGAGAAATGGTTCCCCTCAGTAACGAAAGTTGCCAGACGTTTACATTTGCACCTCTGCCTCAGCTGCCAGGAACCCTAGAGAGAGCTCATCGGAAACCTTCAACCTCTGACCCTCAGGAGAAAGGTGATTTTAACCCAGAATCATGAGTGAGCTGTAAACTCAAAAATGTTCTTGGAGAAACAGGCCAAAGCAGAGGGCCTGGGTCAACTAAGTGTTACCAAGTTAAAGTGAAAGACAGTAAACTGCTTTTCTTCAGTTTTTGTCTTCTCTGTTTTGCTATTTCCTTGTGGCTTAGAATGTAAAACCAATTGTTCAGATTTGTCCTGAATAAATATTTATCTTTCGTATTACAGCAGTGTATTTTTTTTTTTTTTCTGAAGTGTTAGATGAAGTTGCAGACTCTTGGTAGTAGCTATTTCTTTTCCCTGCAGGCCACGGTAGCCAGGTCTTCTGCAGTTACCTAAACCCAGTGCATTGCATTGCTCAGCTTACTGCTAAAACGATTTTGTGTGAACTTTGCAGGTTTGGGGAGTTTTTTGTGATTTTGTTTGTTTGCTTGTTTTTTTGAGACAGGGTTTCTCTGTGTAGCCCTGGCTGTCCTGGAACACTATATAGACCGGGCTGGCTTTGAACTCAGAGATCTGCCTGCCTATATGCCTCCTGAGTGCTGGGGTTAGTTAAGGCCACCATGCCTGTTAAGTATTGTTTTCTAAAGACAGCGTTATATAGCTGCTCTGGAACTCTGAGTCCTGACTAAATTTCCTGAGTGCTCTGAGATTACAGGAGACAGATTGTGTGTGTGTGTGTGAGAGAGAGAGAGAGAGAGAGAGAGAGAGAGCACCGGAAATAGGTTGGCATGTGGGGTAAAATAGAGATAGGTCTCTGGACCTGTATCCAGTGTTTTGCTGCTACTAACCCCCCCCCCCCAAGGGCTTACTGCTTTGAAGCGTTCTGAAGATCTGAGGGTAACGATTAAGTTCCCAGTGTACATATTCTCAGAGTTGGCAACATGAGGGTTTTGTGGAACTAATCTGAAGTTAGTTCCTCAGATGGTCTTGGGAATTCACCTTAAGCAGCTCACTCAGCCTTGGATGGAAAAGCCCTCAGACTCACCCCTCCGGAGTGCTCCCTCCCCTCCTTCCTCTTCTCCCATCTTCTCTCTCCCTTAGAGGAGCTTGAGGCCTCCCAGAGAAAGCGGGCTTTCAGCACACTCCCCACCCCCTTCCTCCCAGCAGGCTGTGTGCCTAGGAGCTGGTGTTTGAAGGAGGCTTCGCTCAGCGCCCCTCCCCCACCCACTGGAACCCCGAAGAAGAAAAAGCTTCCCTGCCCATCCCCCTCGGGATGCGCGCCAGGGCCTTGTGCTTGCAGGCCAGGGCTGGAACACACAAAACCTCCCCCAGCTTCCATCCCCCTTCAGAGCTCAGCCCCTGAGCTGCAATTCCTCAGGGAGGCTACCAGACCAGGACCTTTGCTCAGCTTTCCAGAGGCTGCCCCTCCAGACAGGCCCAGCATGGCGCTCTGCAGAGCCTCCATCTGACAGAGCTACAGTGAAGTTGGGGACAGGTACAAGCCATCAGCTCACAAGTCACATCCACTGTTTTAAGATCCTTGGCTGTGGCAACAAAACAAGCCCATCCATCTAGAACTGTCTGAAGCAAATAAATGTATTCTTCCCTAGATGAGGCAAGATCTTGACTGAAACCCACGGTATAATGAGGAAAAACCACGGTGCTTGAGAAACTGAGCAGAGTGGGCTGGGGAGATAGCTCAGAGACACAGTGCTTGCTTACCGTGCCTGAGGTACAGACAGAATTCAGACCAACTAAGGGTTGCAGATGTGGTCAGAGACAAAGCCTGAAGACGATCTAAGATCAATGGTTTTTGTTTCAGGGCTTCCAGTCAGGCCTCCATTCTGTCCACTTAAGGCTCATAAAGGCCCCTTTGGAAGTATCTGCAACTCAGCAGTGACCTAGTCATACAAACTGGTAATACATGCAAGATGAAGTGCCATATGCAGTGGCCCGTGCCTTTAATCCCAGCCCTTGGGGAAGCAGATGCTAGCTGGTCTACAAATAGCAAGTTCCAGGACAGCCAGAGTTACATAGTGAGACTCAAAACAAGCAAAAACTCCCTTCAGTGACATGGAAAAGACAAGTAGGGAGGTGAATAGAGAGAAAGCAAGAGTGCTGACCTAGACAAAACAGCACCCGAGTGAAATCCAGTACATCAGCCCAGCTGTGAGTACATACTTTGTTCGGATGGGCCTGAAGCTGGGTGGTACCAGTGATATCTAAATCACTGTCTCACACGGGACACAGGAGGTCACTAATGGAAGTTGGAGGGCACAGTGCTGAAGTAACACTGAGGGACAGGCTATTGGGACAAAGCACCCACTGCCAATTCCACTGGTAAAATGGCAGAAGCCAGAATCCCATCCCTGCTCCATGAGGCTTCAAGCCTGTACCCTCCAGCCACAACAGGCAAAGATCAGCCAATTATCCAGCATAGGGCAGTATAATAAACTGCCAGGTGGTGGTGGCACACACCTTTAATCCCAGCTCTTGGGAGCAGAGGCAGGAGGATCTTTTCTAGCTCAAGGCCAGTCTGGTCTAGAGAGCTTGTTAAGGACAGCCAGGACTATGCAGAGAGAAACACTGTCTTGAAAAATCAGAAAGAAAAAATAAAAACAGTGAAAAGCAGAGAAAAGACATTTATTCAATGTGGCCACTTTGGAAAGAGGAACACAGATGCCCAAGTCCATCTTGGGGTCCTAACATAAGTGAATAGACGTTAGCACAACTGAGTAGTCCTGGCCATGCTGTGGTGGTGCCCTGAGCTTCAGTGGGTCTCACAAGATATTCTGTCAAGTTGTCAAGACTGAGATCTCTGTTCTGAAGACAAGCTCCTCATCTGCTATCCGCCACTGGACAGTCATTTTCTGTTTCCAGCATAAAATCCCTGGGGAAGCTCAGGTTTCTTGGATTTCACTGTATTGGTAAACTCATAACCAAAGAAAGGTCACCAGTATCTCTTTAGAATATCTTCATTCCTGCCAGGTGGGTCCAAGGTGATGCACACCTGTGATCCTAGCACTTGCACTCAGGAAGCTGAGCCAGGAGGATCATAATTGGAGGCCAACCTCACATTTTTATATATAATAAAATCAAGACCAGCCTGGGCAACAGAGTCAATTTCAAGGTGATTAACGCCAGTGGCTAAAGAGGGAGGGTGTCAAATTTGAAGCTAACCTCAGCTACAAATCAAGATCTGAGAGAGAGAGAGAAAAAATTTAAGTCTAAATGAAGAATTTTAAGGCAAAGAAATAATATGGGGGTACATTCTCGTTTGGGATATTTTTATTATAATAGTGAGGCTTGAACACATAGGTCAAGTATGCAGTCTACCACTGAGCTACACAACTCCAAGCCCAGGAATGAGCTAAGAATCCAGTAAAGAGAAAAAAAGAAAACAAAACCAAACCCTGAGAAGCCCACTAGAAGCGGGGGTTCAGTTTAAATGAAGGGAAATGATGTCTGGAATCTGGAGAGTGGAGATGGGCAGAGAAGCAGCAGCAAGATTAAGAGAGAGGTAAGGGCTGGGAAGAGAATTTAGAGTCATTAAAGTGAGTGCCATACATACATGAAGACCTGAATTCAATCAGCAGAGCCCATGTTAAGAAAGGAAGGAAGGAAGAAGATGACAGATAGGAAGGAAGGAAAAGAAGACAAAGAAACGAAGAGAGGCCAGATAGGGTGCCTAGCCTTGCAGAGATGGAGACAGGCAAACTGTAGGCCAGTTAGTGAAAATGTCTCAAAAATAAACAAAACCCCACAGTTTAGCACCTAGGAACAACACCCAGTGTTATACTATGGCTTATGCACATCCACATTCAAGAGAGATTTAGGAACCTGGTTACAGTATCTTATGTTTGTAATCCCAATAGTTTGGAGGCCGAGGCAGGAGGACTACCAAAAGTTTGAGGCTAGCCTGGACTAAGAATGAGACTGTCAAATAAAAAGTGAGAACCATCACAGGCCTGTGTCTCTGCTACCTGGCCATGGCCACTGTTGTGTAGGCTGCTTTGTCTATCCTGCCCTCCTTCCACACCGTGATGGACGGAAACTGTGAACGAAAATAAACTCATTCCTTCCTTTTCCGGCAGGAATGCTGTCACAGAACGGATAGACGTCCAAGGGGAGGTGTGGAGTGGGCAGCAGAGTGACCCTGCCCTCTACCTCCCAGAAGAGTTCTCAGCCTGAGAAATAAAACAGGAGCCATACAGCAGTGGCTTTCAGGCTTCCACACACCCACAGCAAATCGTCCATTCCTCATCGCTCCACCGCACCTAAGCATGCGTGTATTGTCCAAGGCTGTCATAACCCTGGCTCTAAGACTCCACAAGGGCAGGTACTGGCCTCACTGCCTTCGTCAACAGGCACCCTCTCCTTCCTTCATCTTTTTTTCAAATGGAGTATTGGGGAGCTAGCCTGTGCCAGGGTCTGGGTTCAAAATGCTTCCAGCTCAAGGAGGAAAGGAGGAGGTGGAACTACGAGTCAATTTTCTTTGAGAGTGGCTCGCCCAGGTTCCCTCCAGGTGGCGATGCATTCCTTTCGCCTCCTTAACTCGGGGCCCCGATGCTCTCCTCTAGGTCGCCCTTCCTCCACCCCCACCACCACCCCTCCAGCAAGGAGCTGGGGGCCCGCTCCCATCTGAGGTGCTCTTCCAAGCCTTGGTTGCCATGGGAACAGCGGCGCGGGCCTCTGTGGTCCGTAACTCACGCTCCAGGGACCCGACCAATGGACAACAAGCTTCATAACGCAGCTCACCAATCGGCAGGCTTTCCCGCCGGACTGCCCGGCCCTCTGAGGAGGGATTTCACCAATGAGCACTTACACTGACATCTTTATGGCTTCTGTGGAACGGGACTTTCTTTATTCAAAAAAAAAAAAAAAAAAAAAAAAAGAATTCTTCAAATTTGAAGGAACTGGAGCAAGGCCTCTCGGCCGGTTGCAGCCTGAGTGCTCTTCGGTCTCATTCTATATTAGAAGATCAAACAATACAAGCTGATCTCTGCCAAAGTAGTTTCAAGCAGTGAACGTGTGGGCCAAGGGCTTTTTGTACCTGGCTACGCCAGTTTATCTCATAAATGGTCAAGAAATTAGTCATCTTTCTTTGTTCTTTATTATTTACTTAGGCTTGTTGAGACAGGATCTCACTATGTAGCTCAGGGTGGCCACGAATTCGCAGCAATCCTCTTAGCCTGGTCTCTGAAGTGCTGGGTTACAGGTCAGCGTCACTAGGCCCCTCTTCCTTGCTGATATTTTAAATACAAATTGCAAGCTGGGAG